ACACTCACACCCACACCCCCCACCCCCCCCCACACCCCCCCCCCACCTCCACCCCCCCACCCACCCCCCCCACCCACACCCACACCCACACCCACACCCACACCCCACACCCACACCCACACCCACACCCACACCCACACCCGCATCAATTTTGCGTTTCGTGTTTACATGGGCAATATGCATTGTGTACTAATTATGTCCAGAAATTCACATGAACATCAAGAAAATGAACGTAATCCAACAACAGGGTTATCATTACCAATAGATAAAACCGTATCTAATTATGTTAAATGTGGATTATCATAGTCTCAAATTAAAGCATCATTAAGTAGAAATTATCCACAACATTCAATTAATCAAGATAAATTACACAATTTAATAATTTAATAGTTTGTGTTGTATAGGTAGAGGTGTTGTTTTGTATACTATCTATTATTATATTAATAAATTTGGTGATCAAAGATATTCATGCTCAAAGATTTGTAAAACAAGTCAATCATTGTTACAAATTACGTAATTGAATAAGATACAATTCGATTGAACAAGAAGAGATTAACAAGTTTATTCTTTTGTTTATGTAAATTAAGGAACTGATAATTCATGTATCAGAAGATTGTCTTCTAGCGTGATATGAAATTTTAGAATATTTTTTCGGGAAAAATATTTGAAAATTTGCAATTCATTTTGACTAATCACAAAATCTCAAAATAATCGACGATTTAGGACGATACATCTGCGTTATTCACAAAATCAACGACTAATGATAATATATTTACATTACTCAGAAAATCGACGATTAAACGCTAACATTTAGAAAAATCACGAGAAATCATCAAAACTTAGGCGATTTTGATGAAATGGGAAGTGCTTGCAAGAAAAATCAAAATTGATGAAAATTTAAAACGTGATATTCTAATATTTTATCGTTGCTTTTCTATTTAGAGAACATAAAAGCAATCAGTTATGATGCAACTTTTTCGCACTTACATTACAAAATAGAATGTTTATTTTTCTCAATGAATGAGTCATCTGTGAAACGATATAAAAAGATTGTAGCATGGTTCTTTTTCTCATATATTTGGGTGCATCATTACGATATTATTGCATGAGTCATTGTAAGTATGTACTTCCGTTGTGAATAAAAACTCAACAGAAAAAAATCAAAGAAAGAGTTAAGTATTACTTCTGCTGACTTCACTGCGTTTTTTCACAACTCTGTAAACTATTAAAGAAATCAAATTTTTTTTTTTGAAAATTTATGTCTAAAGTTAGCTCCTCTCGTGGTTGTGTTGTTTTTTTATGATTGTTACTTTCTGAGCGAAAAAACAAGGAATGACACGTTTAATGACGCGCAACATGCCTAAAATATTGTGCACTTTTCTATAGAGGGTTTTTTTAAAGGCCACGAGACGGAGCTAGTCACAGATACAAGCTTTCAAACTAAAAAAAAATATTTCACTTTATCTCTTAGTATGATAGAATTTTGCTGGTGTTACGTCGTTGACCCATTGCCGGAGAAAAACGAAAAATAATTTCTTTGTGTTTTTGTTTCAAAAACAGCTTATTTTTCGAATATAGATGAAGGAAGCCTTTCAAAATTTTTCAAAAAATAAAAAGGTTGAATAAAAATTTTTATCATATATGAAAAAGCAGATGATTTGGTGCATTTTAGATTTTTAATAATTCTATAAAGCTGTTCATGATAGTTAATAATTTCAAGTTATTATAGAAATTCACCGATTTAGATTGATTTTCGCGTGCAGTAACTTCTTTTTCAAAGAAGTTGAATATGAGTGGAAGTTGTTACATAAGCATAAGTCACATTAAATCTCATTAAAATTCATTCAGAGACGTTTTCTAGATTATTAATAAGAATCTAAAAAGTATATAGAAAAGATTTGTCACAAATGTCAAAATTTACATATTAAAATTAAGTAGATATGTTTATAAGAGTCTTAGGCTACAGAAGGTACATATCTCCCTTCCAACACATCCCAATAATCATTGTTTTTTTAAAAATTGTTATTATTTGCATTCACGATTTGTTTGTCAATATTTTTTTAGTTTTAGATATTTAATCATCAACAGATGGGTAATTCGGCAGCTCATAGAAATAATTCAAAAGCAGTCTCGACTGCTATTACATCAAAAGATCCAAGTTCATTTGTTTATCAAGATTTAATTTTTCATGTTCAATTAATTCAATATCAAATGATTGAAATCTCCAAATATCTTGATGATCAATGGAAAAAGAAACAGAAGATACAAGAAGGTAGGTTATCATTTGCCACAAATTGGTTACCACAATCAATCCCCCAATCAAAATCCCCAAATGGGGATTTTGATTTGGGGATTTTTTTGACATGAAATATATCATACGTCCTATAGTTCAATACCATTCTTTTTCTCTTCCAGGACCGTATTACCAAAACTAAAACTTTTGAAGTCATATCTGCTGGAGATGTTTAGTTTGGGTCAGCTAAACATAATAAAAACAGTTTTCCCATGAATCTGGTGACCAGAATGTATTTTGAGGTACTACAACGAACAATTTTGAGGTGAATCTGGTGACCAGAGTATATTTTGGGCTGCCAAAAAGAGAACTTTATAGTGAAGCCAGATACATTCTGGTCACCAAATTCATGGGAAAACTGTTTTTATTATGTTTAGCTGACCCAAACTAAGCATCTCCAGCAGATATGACTTCAAAAGTTTTAGTTTTGGTAATACGGTCCTGGAAGAGAAAAAGAATGGTATTGAACTATAGGACGTATGATATATTTCATGTCAAAAAAATCCCTATTTGGTCACCAAAATAACCCTTAATTGGTTGAGTATCCCTAAATGTGGAAACTTTTTAGGGAGTGATTTAGGGAACCTCAATTTGTGGGAAATCATGCTCCTTCCACAACAAGAATTGAAATCACGTTCAATAACATTTGTTGATCCATATGGTAATTCAATGACTAATAAATATCTGGATCATAAGTTTATCAGTACATTTGTTACGAAATATAAAAAGAATTATGTACCAAAATATTTACAAAAGTGGATTAAAATTGGAACAATGAATCAAAATAATATTTCGGCATTTATTAATTCAGAACTGAAATCATCTGTATCTGAATATCCAGATGGTTATCAATTTATTACATATGGTGAAGTAAAAATCTTGATAATAAATTATGAAGGGATATCGTCTCAACAATTGATTCTATCAGTTCTTCTAACAGATACTATAGAAAAGATTCAAATGCAAATAGAGAAACGTCTAAAGTTGTCAAATATTCAACTAAAATCTTTTATATTAGATCAAGATTCTCAAGTAAATAA